CCATGATGGTTTCTACCTCTTCCTCTTGCGTTTATCCCCTTTCTATCATGGAGTAGTTTCCTCTTTTCACTTGGGTGTTGTGAAACCCTAACTATTTGCCATGTAGTTGTTATGTGAATTGAAGGATTGATTATGGGTGTTGTTTAATTCAATGATTGAGGTATTTTTCATGTTGATTGTGCATGTTTGTGCTTAGCAATCTAATTGGTCATTCTAACCTAGATTAGATGGGAACCCCCCCCCCCCTTTCAAGGGAGGCTCAATTGAGTTGGGATACCTAGGGATTCTTAAGCCACCTATCTAGGTTAGTGTAGGGCAAACCTCTATGTTGAATTAAGCAATTTGGTTAAGCGCGATTAAGCCGACCAACCATTGGGTTGAGTGAGGGAGTAAGGCAACCATCGATTGCCTTAACTGAGAGGGCCACTTGAATAGCCTATAATGTATCCCTCGCTTTGGCAATCGAGAGTGTGTTCTACGACCATATTTTCGTCCCCTAGCGGTTCGCGGTCACCTTGCCCATAGCAATCACTTCGATTCACATACCATGCTAGTAGCTAGGGGGAAGCGACACCCGAGTGATCCTTCTCTCAAAGAGCTTTCAAAACCATTTAATTTTGCCTTGATTTACCTTAAATATCAAACTTTTCAACCAAAACCGATTCGCTAGATAATGATTCAAATGACTGAAGTAGGGGTACACGGACCGACCCGAGTCGATATTTAAACATACTTGCCTTGTGTTGCACCCGACTAAGGTTTATACTTGGACCTTAGCCGAGAATTAATTGTGATATTCGGAGTGAGCCAATCCTCTTCATCTCTGGCCCCATTCCGTCCTGAATTTCACTCGTCAAACTATGCGGTAATATCGTTCAACCCCTTACTTTACGCCATTGAGGGCAATGTCGAGCTTAAGTGTGTGTGTGTGGGAGGGGGTAGTTTATTATTATGCTTGTGTGTGTGATTGAGCGTTTTGGAGCCTAGATGTATGCACAAATTTTTAAAATTTGAGGGATCCAAGCAATGCATGTTTATTGTGGCCGGTTGTGGGAGAATATTGTGTTTATTGGCATTGACTTTGGATTGTTTACATGCGATTGATTGCATCCTATTATGATGATTGAGAATTGCATTAGGTTGGTGCAAGTGTTTAGTTCTCATATGTGTGAAAATGGACGGATGCCTACACTTGAGTACTCATTGATTGCCATTTCCATGCATCAAAATTTTTGAAATTGGAATGGATGTTTGAGCGGCTAGGTAGCCATGTGAGATTTGTGCCGATCGTCCTTTTCATGTGTGATAGATCCATCTTGCAATGGAGAGTAACATTTACGCTGTCATTAGCAAGAAAGATGGAGACATAGGATTGGTCCACACCCAAAAATTTGATTGTCCGGAAACATTTTATCCCCTAATCAACCCCTTTTCAGCCGTGTGACTTAGGGTCGCTCTCATTTTAGGAGCTTTTGCTACTTGAGCTTTATTGAGATTGAGAGAGCGAACCTTTGCTTTCTTCGTGTCTAAACCGTTGTGAGTCATCCTTGTGTCCTGGAGCTCTCATTTTTTTTTAGCTCCATTGAGGTTCCACATAGGTGAGTTTTTCACGGTTCTAGCTAAGAATGAAAAGGCAGTGTTAGAGGGAAGTTCTTAATGGTGAGAATTGTTCGTAAGTTCTAAAAGGTGGCATGTGTTTAGCTCTCTAGTACCCCCCCCCCCCCACCCAAAAAAACCAAGGAAAAGAGAAAAGAAAGAGAAAAATAGGAAATAATTGGGTAAATAAATTTGCCACCAAGTTGATGTGTATGCTTTGGAAAGGTGTTTCTTGGCATTCAAGTCATTGAAACACCTAATTGTTTGTTGACCTCCTTCACTACCATGCTTGGAAATGGGATAGCAAGTTTAGCCGAGAAATTGTGCTTGAATGTCATTCAGGATTGATTGTGGTTTGAAATTGAGGAAGTATGGTTTTTGGCTGATATTAGTGGTTGTTGCTTGTAGTAAAGGTTCGAGTTGAAATAATAGAACCTTGTGTTGGTTTTAGTTTTGGAGATGTTGAACCTCATGCTTTGTTCACCATATCCCAAAAATCCTTCTTCCCTATGTCCATGACAATAGCCAGTCATCTGAACCAGTGTCTAAGACCTCTAGACAAGCTAGTGACAACAACCATCTTGTGAACTCTAACATTTAGAGGTTACTGCCGTGGTGAAGAGACGATAGGGATGAGTGTTGATGATGTACATCTCTTGCATCAAACGGTCCTGACCCCACTCGTTGAGAGTGATTTCATTCACATTTTCATGTTCATATCTTATCCCGGTGAGGACCTAGTTCGCTCATTCTCTATTCCTAAGGCTTGATCTCTATGCATGGATAATTGCAGTTTGTGAGTGGTTTTGTTGAAGCATGTGTTTGTTTGTGAACAGAGTGAGACCTTTTCGTTTGCACGTTATTAATGCATTCGAATGTTGTTTGTGGTGATTGTCCATGTGTCAATGCCAAATAAACATTGGGATTCATCCATTTTGTGACCTTTGATGTGTCCACAAGTTATTGTTGTTAGGTTAAAATATTACCTTGTTTGAGATTTGTTTGCTTGGGGACAAGCAAACGTTCAAGTGTGGGGGTGTGATTCGGGCTCAATTGTACAAATTTACCCCTCATTTTTTGATAGTTTGACTTTGCATTTTATCGTCCCTTGTCCTATTTTATGCTAGGTTGTGCTATTTTTTATTCATTTCAGGTCCTAGCACGTGTGGAAGGGTCGAAGACGAGTTTCGGGATGACTAGAGGTCGAAAAGCGCCAAAAAGTGAAGAAAAGTCCAAAGACCGTGACAATTGCATCATGGGCGTGAAGTTCGTTGCGAAACAGAAGGGTTTCGCGCGTCTCACGGCCTTAAGAGTTATCACGGTCGCTTGACCGTAATAATTGTCCAGCGACGGTGATGCTGGACCACAACAATGCATGCCACTGACCTGTGTTTTTGTCTGACATCATGGTTTGAGCTCCAATATCATGACCATGAAAGTGACTGTCGGGCTGTATAAATAGAAGACCGTTGGGGGGAGAGAAAAGGAGGTTGGATTTGGGATGATGTTTAGATTTTATGGGTTCTCTTCTAGGGTTCCAGCTAAGGAAATCCTAGGAGAAACCCTAGTGAGAGAAAGCTCTTCTTCACAATCTAGAGAGATAAAGTGGTCAACAAAGAGAGAAGAAGAAGATATGAGCTTACTTGAAGCTAGAGGAGTGAAGATTTTTACCTCTTAAGGGAGTTCTCATCAACAAGGAGGGAAGACTAACATCCACCATGGTTCTTTCTCTTTTTTTGTTATTTTCCCTTGCCTAGCTAAAAAGTAGAGTTCCTCTTCACTTGGGTATTGTGAACCCTAGCTTTTTGTAGGTGATAGATTGTATTAATTTAATGTTGTGTGTGGGTTTGTGTTTTAATGCAAGGATTGAGGTATTTTCATAATGTTTGGATTGTATTCTTCATTTCTCGTTACCATGCCAATTTAACCTAGGTAGAGGGAAACCCCCTTCTTGTTAAGAGGCTTTATAAGCTAGATTCCTTGGCCAATTGAGCATCCTACTTAGGGCTAATTAGACCACGCCTCAAACCTCGATTTAGCACCTTGATGGTTGTTACTTTGCAATCCGAAAGTTCTGACGGATTGGGTCTTGCAACCCTTAGTTGATCGGTTATGAGAGCTAGGACTCCTAGCTTATTGTTGCAATCCTTAGCCGAAAGGTTAAGAGAGCTAGAATTCCTAGTTTATTGTAGCAATCCTTAATCCATTGATTGAGAGAACTAGGGTTCCTAGCTGAATTTTTTTCTTAATCGATTGATTGAGAGAGTGAGGTTTCCTTGACTTGTTACGCCCTCCTAACGGTGTATTAACACACCTTCACACAATTGCATTATTTTCGATCATCTTGATATGTAGCTCAGGGAGTAATACCCGGGTGAATTCTTCTCTCATTGGGACAACCTCGATTAACTTTACTTGTTTGTTTATTTTGTAGTTGTCTTAGACCATGCGAGTCAAGTTTTTTGCACCGTTGCCGGGGAGCCTTACGGTCTATTATCCAAAAAAAATCGCTTCGTGTTACTTTAGCATTTTCTATCTTGCCTTTTTATTTTTGTTTTGTGTTTCATTTTTGTTTTGTTTACCACTCTTCGTCTTGAAGGACGGTTTGTGTGTGCTTGATTTCTCTTTTTAGTATTTTTGTGTTTGTAGGTATTGGATCATGGATCCTTATGATTTCACCCAAGTGGTGGTGGTGGTGGTGGGGGGAGGGGGGTATCCACCACCACCCGAGAGTGGTTACCTCGAAACTTCATGGGACGATGGGAAGTTAATCTGGGTTCTACTCCCTTCAAAGAAGAGCAACCATGCTCATGAGGATATCAAGAGGGTTTCCCTGCCCAACTCGAGGTGAAATCCAAGTTGGAGTGGGCCATGGAGGCTTTCGTGGGACAAACCTCAAGCATGGACCTCCCAATTGCAGCCCCTTTCGACTCAACTTTTCTACGGGAATTGGAGGAGATCCTTCGACGCACGGAGAGGCTAGGAGTGCTTGTTGTGCAAGCATGTGCACAACTTGCTCACAATTGCCTCCTACCATTTGGGGGAAGAGAGGAAGTTGGAGAGGGGAGCCATGAGAACTTTAGAAGAACAAGCTCCGACAAGAATTTTCAACCCCTTCCTCCTCCCAGATTGACGACCGCCGTTATAAGTAACCGTCCAACGAGCCTCCAAAGCTCGAAGAGAGAGGAAAGAGCTCCTCTCAGCAATTTTTTTTTTTGTGTGGACTTAATGTAATCACATTTTGCTTCTCTTCAAATTATTTAATGCTAAGTATTTATTAAAGATATTTTAATAAAAGTAATATTTGTCCGGGCGAGATTCTTACATAGTCTCTCATTAACTACTTCAATTGTTGTCGTTATAACAAAAAGAGTGTGGTCACCGTATCTACTATCTAGTCCAAAAAAGGAAGTTAAAGAAAAAGAAAAGACTGGACCACTACTCCATTTGCACAGAGACGAAAGCTCTTCCGACTCCTAATCACGCAGCAGCACATACTCACAGCTCAAATACCCCTCTCATTTGTGGGTTTAATTCCTCTGTTCTACAGCGACCCATCTAACCCAAAAGAATAAATAATCAATCCACCTTGCTATGCCTTTTCGCTCGACTCGGCGGTGGAGGGGCACAAGCCAATCGTTCATGCCATAGCTGACAGTGTCGGTCTCTCGCTTGTTTTCTCGATTGTAATCCCGAGAATTACGGTGATGACTGGATTTCAAATCTGGGATCTCTGGCTGTGAATTGTGGAGAAAGGATCGGGAAAAGATGCGGAGGCGGGCTGCCGAGTACCGGCGCCCGGTTAGAAGGAGGTATTCGCTGTGGATCTGGGTGCTTCTTGGCATGTTCTTGATTGCGGGATTGGTGTTGTTTGTGTTTCATCATAACCAGCACGAGGATCGCGTCGAGCAGCTCATTACGGTAAGTCGATGAAATCTGATGTCCTTCTCGTTCTAATTGAAGTCATCGTGTTAGATTCGTCTTTCTTCTGGAGAATTTAGTGAAATGATTTCATTGGATCAGTAGGAAGTCGTCCGCATTTCCAGACGTACTTCACTCAGTTTCCTTGTACAGGATTCTAGTTTTGAAAAGCGTGTTGAGTTGGTTTGATCCTGATACTGTGAGCGACCATGAATCTTTTGTTGTTGAGTGGCTTGTGAATCTTTCCTGCGGTCTTTATTCTGTTTATTTGCTTATCTGCAAGTTCAACTGCTCGATTGCATGGTAATGATTGTTCACTCTTTGGGTGCTGGCTGGTTGTTGTTCTAGTAGCCGTTGTATAGTTGCAAGTCACATAAAAGGCAAAAGGACCCGATGATGAAATGAAGCTTTCTTTAGTTTGCTCAACACGTTCCTTTCTCTACCTACCATTCTGTCTATCTTTGTTCAGTAGTGTACATATGTTTGTGAATCATTAGTCAGAACCCTTAGGTTCAACCACCTGTAATAAGTTGAGGCCCAAAACCTTCTGATACAGCACTCATTTGGGTTGCAATAATTGGTCTTTCATCGGATTCATGTAGGTGATTTTATTGTAAATAACTGTTAGTTATATTATCATGTTCAGAGGCTCAGTGGTCCAGAATACTCCGGTTAAATTCTTGAATTAGTATTTGTTTTCTTGCACAACTTAGAAAAGTTCAGATATGTGGTTGCTATGCTATCTTTCTTCGTTCATTCTTGATTGTCTTCCGTACCTTTAGCTCTCTTACTAGACTTGTATGTGTGTGTGTGCCACCTTTTCGATGGAAGTAATATACCTTATATGCCTGCTGGTTGGCTAGCTCTGATGGTTGTTCTTTCATGTATGCTCAACGAAATCCATTTCCTGTGAAGTCCCAATTTTTTTTGTTGTATTGAACTCTTATACATTGTTAATCTTTGTAGTATAGATCTTGTATCAATCTGTAACCAATACAAGTATTACTATCCAGAGAGAACTGGGACATGAACATGTGGTTATGATTTTAGGTTCTTTCTTTTTTCTGGTGGATTGTGGAATGCCTTTGGGTTGTTAGTTATCATCCAGTGTCAAGAGGCATATCACATTTGCTTGTTGGTCGTGGATTTAGTTTGCCTCCTAAGCATGACGATGCTTGTGCCTTTCTGACTATTCAAAGAATCTTGTTTGAGTTGGCTACTGTTTGTTGACCCTTAAGATTGTGTTTGCAAGCCTTCAGTGTCGGTTGTTTGATGGGATATTGAGACCCCCATCAGAAGATAGAATCAACATACAAGCACACTAACTTGGCATAGTTTTATGTATTTCTTCGTGTATGAGGTTTTGGGTTCATGATTCATTAACTTTTATTCAACAGGAGAGGAAGTCACGGGCAGATCTGGTTAATCATGAGGGTTTGAACTTCACCAAAGAAATACTAAGCCCTAGCTCATTCTCAAGGCAATTATCCGAGCAAATGACACTTGCCAAGGCTTATGTCATCATTGCAAAAGAGCACAACAATCTCCACCTTGCTTGGGAGTTGAGCAAAAGGATCAGGAGTTGTCAACTTCTGCTCTCAAAAGCTGCCATGAGAGGAGAGCCCATAACAGCAGAAGAAGCAGAGCCAGTGATTAGTAGTCTCTCATATCTAATATTCAAGGCTCAAGATTCCCATTATGACATTGCAACCACTATAATGACGATGAAGTCCCATATTCAAGCACTCGAAGAACGTGCAAATGCAGCCACCGTGCAGAGCACAGTGTTTGGTCAGCTGGTGGCTGAAGCTCTCCCCAAGAGCCTTCACTGTCTGAAACTAAAGCTCACAACCGACTGGCTGTCGAAGCTACCCCTCCAAGCTCTTGCAAAGGAGAATGTGAACTCACCTAGGGTTGTAGACAACAACCTCTACCACTTCTGCATATTCTCAGATAATGTTCTTGCTACATCCGTGGTGGTCAACTCCACAATCTCCAATGCCGATCACTCAAAGCAGCTTGTGTTCCACATAGTCACAAATGGGGTCAACTTTGGAGCAATGCAGGCTTGGTTCCTGACCAATGACTTCAGAGGGGCCGCTGTGGAGGTACAGAACGCAGAAGAGTTCAGTTGGTTGAATGTCTCTTATGCTCCTGTGGTGAAACAGCTGCTCGATAAAGAGTCACGAGTGTTCTACTTCGGTGGTTATTATGAAGATATTAGTGTCGAGCCAAAGCTAAGAAACTCCAAGTACTTGTCTTTGCTAAATCATCTCAGGTTTTATATACCCGAGATTTATCCCCAGCTGGAGAAGATAGTTTTCTTAGATGATGATGTGGTTGTCCAGAAGGATCTGACTCAGCTCTTCTCTCTCAATTTGCATGGAAATGTTAATGGAGCAGTGGAAACTTGTCTGGAGTCATTTCATCGGTATTACAAGTATCTAAACTTCTCAAACCCAATTATCAGCTCGAAGTTTGACCCCCAGGCATGTGGATGGGCGTTCGGGATGAATGTTTTTGATTTGATTGCATGGAGGACAGCGAACGTCACTGCTCGGTATCACTTTTGGCAGGAGCAAAATGCCGACCGTATGCTTTGGAAACTGGGCACACTTCCTCCTGCCCTGCTGGCATTTTATGGTCTGACTGAGCCACTGGATCGAAGATGGCATGTGTTAGGGTTGGGGTATGATATGAACATTGATGACCGGCTGATTGAGAGTGCTGCTGTGGTTCATTTCAATGGGAACATGAAGCCCTGGTTGAGATTGGGTATTAGCAGGTATAAGCCTCTTTGGAAAAGGTACATAAATGAGAGCCACCCGTATTATGGAGATTGTGTTACAAGCTGAAGCAGAGGCTTCTACTTGCCTCATTGAATCCAATGTCGAGCCTCCTTGCCTCTTCACGGGCGACGATTGCATTATTTGTAGAGTCAAGTAGGAAATTTTGGCTTTGTTTACAGAATAGTCACTTAAAGATGAAAAGGAAACAACTTTATATACATTAGAAGGAAAGAAACCTTGAAATTAATAGGTGAAGAAGTGGTGAAAATTCATTGATTTGGAGAGGGGGGACTTTCTTTCTTCCACCCCTCGCTATGAGTAAAAGCTATAGAATTGTTTGTTCCTTGGCAAGATACGTTGTAATAATTCCCAGAAACTTCTTTTTTTGTGCGTGATAACTTGAACATTATCAGTCTATTTATTTTTGTTGGGTCATACTGCATTTATAAGTCATTGTTAAGCTTGTTGGATTCGGTTCTGTTGATCCTTGTTGTTGTCCTACTTGTGAATGTGATAGAAGATTGATGCCTGGCTCATTTGACTTGGTGGTGTATGAAACCCGGCTTTGGTATATCGTGCAATTAAGAAGCGAAGTGAGATTATCACAGTTAATTAGTTTCTCTACTTGGATCTCTGCCGGTGCCTTCTTGTCCTTCAACTCCCTTGTTTTATCATCATGCTGGGACGCCAGAGCATGCAATCCAACCAGCATAACATGCAAATAAGAAACGAGGAATGATGTGGGGAATACAAGGGAGAGACAAGTAAACGCCGCTCGGTTGAGCTGCTGAGATGTGTCCAACCAACTTCTTAATGGTTCCTTCACAAGTACTTAACTGCAACCTGATTAATAGGCACAAATCCAGATTCTTCACTTCTGGTAGGGGGCTCAGGCAGGGGAATTCACTCTCCCCATATTTGCTCCTACTTGCTCTGATGGTTTGTCGGCTTTGATCGATGAGTATGGTGCTGAAAGAAAGATCCATGGTCTTAAGATATTTAATAGACCCCTTGTTATTTCACATCTCTTGCTTGTTGACGATCGCATTATTTTTACAAGAGCTAGCGTGAAGGAAGGGAGATGACTGAAAGAGATATTGACAGATTATGAGAAGGAATCAGGGCAAATGATTAATCTAGACAAGTCAGAGGCTAATTTCAGTAAAAACATTTCTTCTGAAAGAAGAAGAAAAATATGTTAAGAGATGAACATAAAAGAAGTGGATAAGTTGGCGAAATACTGGGGGCTTCCTACCATGATTGGTAGGTCGAAGAAGTTCGTCTTCAACAATCTCATATATAGAGTCAGGGATAAGTTGACTAACTGGAAAAGCGGGCGATTTTTGGATGCAGGGAAAGAAATTCTTATCCAAATTATTCCGCAAGCCCAAGATACCTACGCATTGTCGGAAATTCGGGTCCAATTGCACATGTTTTCTCCCAATATTCTTGAGATGTTTGATGCACTCCATTAGGTTCGATTTTACGCTAGGGTTTGCTTTTTTTTTTTTTAGTATTTTAGATCCTATCAGGTAGAATTGGCATTGGGAGCGAAAGTTGGACGAAAAGGGGCGGAAACGGATAGAAGGGAAAAAGCACCCGAGGATCACGATGGAAGCCAGATGTTCACGGTCAGCCCGATCATGATAAAGATGCACAGACCGTGAGGTGCAAGGAGATCAGGAAAGTTTTTTAGCCTCGCAGGCTTAAGAGACATCAGCGAGACAATGATAATGCACCAGATATCGTGAAGACCCTAAATGAAACTACGCGTTTTTGCTCAAGAACACGGTCCAAACTTCAAGTTCACGATTGTGAACTGGGACCGTGACACGCGCTCGATCTGAGTATAAAATGAGTAGTGAGATGAAAGAGAAGGAGAGAGCCTAGTGAGAGAATTGCATCTTCTTCCTCATATTTTACAGAGAGTGTGATGAACAATATAGGAGAAGAAAGCTAGGGTTTCATCCAAGTTTCAAGATTTGGAAATCTCATCCAACAAGGTTGATCTTTACACCAAAGGAAGAAGGAAAACACCTCAAGATGGTATTTTCCCTTCTCCTTTGTGTATTCCCTAGTCTAAGCATGGAGTAGTCCACTTCTTTCACTTGGGTGTTGTAAACCCTAGCTAGAACTATCTGAATGATTGTATGAATTGAATGTTTTGTGTGTGTGTGTGTGTGTGTGTTTTGTGCTTTAATGAAAGTATCGAGGTATTTTCATGAAGTTGGAGTTTTGTTCTCCATTTCTCATTATTATGCCAATTTGACCTAGGTAAAGGAAAATCCTCTTCTTGCTAAGAAGCTTTTATAAGCTAGAATTCTTGGCCAATTTGAGTCACCTACTTAGGCCGAATCAGGGCAAATCTCATACTGCCTTTTAACACCTTGAGTGGGTTGTTGATTTGCCATCTGGATTAAGGTCCGAGGGAGAAGCATTGGCAACCCTTAGTCGTTTGGCCTAGAGAGCTAATTTGTTGGCTTAATCCGTGTTGCAGTAGTAGTCGAGTCAAGTTTTTGGCGCCGTTGCCGGCGAACTTCTGTCTATTATTTTGAAAAAGTAGTTTGGTGTTAATCTAGCTTTTACTTTTTGCGTTGCTGATTGTGAATCTTGCTTGTGTTGGCTCACGTTGTGTTTTTTTTGAAGTGTGTGCAGGAGGGTGTATGACTCAGAGTAATCTAACACCTTTGGCGCCACTAGATGAGAACCTCAACCAAACTCTCCGACTCTTGGCTCGGGAGAGGGAGTTGGCGGAAGCAAGAGAATGGATAGCAGATTGGGGAAAACCACAAGTTGAACCCAAAGTTGAAGTTGAAATTGAGGAGGAAGTTGAATCGGAAGAAGAAGTTGAAGCTGAGATACCGGAGAATCAACACGCCCAAGAGGAGAATGAGGAATCGAGGACCATGGGATACAATATGGCTCCACGGGTGGAGGATATTCAACCAAGCATTTTGCATCCATCTGTGGCCGCCAACAATTTAGAGATCAAGCCCGGCCTCGTCTGTAGAACACAAGAAATCCCAATTGGATATTAGGGATTGAGAAGAGAAGAAATTAGGGATTTGGGGAATTGGGGAAGAACAAGAGAGAGAACAGAGATTAGGGATTTGATAGTTTCTGTATATTATTGCTTAATTCCCAAAACTAATGAAATGCGTCTTTAAGTAGTGTAAACCGAAATAACCCAAAATAACAAGTTTGCCACTCCTTCCCTCCCCCTATTGGCCGACCGGCCCCCTCTCTCTCTAACCCGGGGTCGGGTTTCCTACATCCCCTCCTCCTTCAGAATCGACATCGGCCTCGATGTCGAAAGCCGGGAATCTCTGGCGTAGCAACTCTGACTCCTCCCAAGTAGCATCGTCCGGTTCCACATGCTTCCACTGCACCAAGCTTTCTTCCACCAGCCGCCCTCCTCTCTTTGTCCACCGGGTCTCTAGTACCTTGAGAGGAACGAGCTCCAAGTCACCATCTGCTGTCACCAGAGGAGCCGTCGACGTGACCCTGTCCGCCTGGCCCCGGTACTTCTTCAGCAAGGAAATGTGGAACACCGGGTGTATGCGCGAACCCTCAGGCAGCTGTAGTCGATAGGCAACTGGGTTGACCTTGTGGATGATCTCGTACGGCCCGAAGTACCTAGCTGCCAGCTTCTGGTATGCCCGCCTGAAAACCGAGGACTGCCGGTAGGGGTGCAACCGCAACAGAACCCAGTCACCCACCTCAAACTCCTCTTCCCGCCGCCCTGCATCCTCGGCCTGCTTCATCCTATTGGACGCTGCAGCCAAATTAGTCCTCAACTGCTCCAGAGCTTCATCTCTCGCGCTCAACCACCTGTCCACCGCATCCACCGAGCTCGACCCACCTCTGTACTGCACCAATGTCGGGGGTGATCTCCCATACAGCGCCTCGAACGGTGTCATCTTAATCGACCTATGAAATGTGGTGTTATACCACAATTCCGCCCAAGGAAGCATGGCCAGCCACTGCCGCGGCTGCTGGTGGGTAAAGCACCTCAGATACTGCTACAGGTACTTGTTGACTATCTCTGTCTGTCCATCAGTCTGCGGATGGTAGGCCGAACTCATGCGTAGTACAGTCCGTGCCATGGCGAAAACCTCCTGCCAAAACCTGCTCAAGAAAACCGGGTCGCGATCACTGACAATAGACCTGGGAAATCCATGATGTCTCACCACTCCCAAGACAAACTGCTCGGCCACCATCTTTGCCGTGTACGGGTGCGCCAAGGGCATAAAATGAGCATATTTCGTGAGCCGGTCCACTACTACGAACAAAACCGTCTTCCCACCAGAAGGGGGCAACCCCACTATGAAGTCCATGCTGATGTCCTCCCATACTCGTTCCGGGACCGGCATCGGCTGTAGAAGGCCGGCGGGTCGCAGGTAAGACAACTTCACTCTCTGGCATGTATCGCATGACTCCACATAGTCTCGCACTGCCTGTGCCATCCTGGGCCAGTAAAAATGGCCCTTAATCCTGCGAAGCGTCCTCTCGGCGCCGGAATGCCCTCCCAACGGCGAGTCATGGAACTCCTGAAGTACCGAGGTGACCAGGTTCGAGTCAGGAGGAAGAACTACTCGACCCTTGAACGTCACCAGCCCCTGCCGAAATAAATAATGACCCGGGTTATCGCTCACTGCGATTTCCCGGCAATCCTGCAAATACTGACTGGTCTCCATGGACGCCCGTAACTCATCCCAAAACTGCGGAACAGGCCCTGTCACTGCGGCGAGGATCTCGCTGCCCGGCATCCTCGATAACCCATCCGCCACCACATTAGTGGGCCCCGGTCGATAGTGAATCTCATAATCGTAGCCTAGCAGCTTCGATACCCACTTATGCTGATCCGGAGTAGACACCCGCTGCTCGAGGAGGTGCTTCAAGCTCTGATGATCAGTGTAGATGTGAAACTTCTGCCCCAGGAGGTATGGCCGCCAGGTCTGCACTGCCGTAATAATCGCCTGCATTTCCTTCTTATACGTAGACCAAGCCTCCTTGGAGGGGGCCAGTGTCTTGCTCATGAAGGCAATGGGATGGCGGTCCTGAGATAACACCGCCCCTATTCCCCGGCCCGATGCATCCGCCTCGATCACAAATGGCTTGGAGAAATCCGGCATGGCTAGCGTCGGAGTGGTCGTCATAGCCTGCTTCAGCCGCTGAAATGCAGCCTCCGCTGCTGGTGACCAGACAAACCCCCCCTTCTTCAGTAAATCCGTCAATGGCCGGGCGATCATGCTGTACCCCTGCACAAACTTCCGGTAATACCCGGTCAGACCCAGGAAACCACGCAACTCCGTCACCGTCGTGGGAACCGGCCAGTCTACCATGGCCTGAATCTTGGCCTGATTCACCTTCACACCCTGTGGAGTCACCATGTGACCCAAATACTCCACCTCCTGCACCCCGAACTCGCACTTGGATGCCTTGATATAGTACTGACTTGCCCGTAGAACCTCGAATACTGCCTGCAAATGAGCCAAGTGATCTGCCCAAGAAGGGCTGTAAATCAGGATATCATCGAAGAAAACCAGAACATACCGGCGCAGTAGGGCCCGAAAAATCTCATTCATGGCTGCCTGAAAGGTGGACGGCGCATTGCATAATCCGAAAGGCATCACCAAGTACTCATAGTGCCCGTTATGAGTGCGAAACGCCGTCTTATGGACATCCTCCTCCTGCATCCGGATCTGGTGATAACCTGCCCGCAAATCCAGCTTCGAAAAATAGCGGGATCCATGAAGCTCATCCAACATATCATCCACTGTCGGGATGGGAAAGCGATCCTTCACTGTGGCTGCATTCAGAGCCCGATAATCCGTGCAGAAGCGCCAGGTCCCATCCTTCTTCCTCACTAACAACACAGGCGATGAGAACGGGCTGGTGCTCGGCCTGATCAAACCCGTGAGCAGCATCTCAGAAACCTGTCTCTCGATCTCCTCCTTCTGCGAATGCCCATATCTGTAGGGTCTCACATTCACCGCCTCCACTCCCTCTTTCAACTGAATCTGATGATCAACCAGTCGGTGAGGAGGTAAGGCAGTGGGAGTCTCGAATAAATCCGAGTAATGGTCAAGCAGCTCCTGAAGCTCCGGATGGAGTTCCGGCGGCGCCCCTTCCTCGATCGGCCAACACAAAATGGCCAAATCGGCCTCGCCCTCCGGACCACAGTCCTCGATCGAGATAGGACCCGCCACGGTGGTGAGGCCCTGCAGCTGCCAATCCTTATCCCTCCATTTGAAACGCATGGTCAACCTGCGCCAATCACTAGTCACAGGACCCAAGCTCTGTAGCCATGGAATCCCCAAAATGATATCGATTCCCTTGATTAGCAGTATATACAGATCAGTGCATATAGGCAGACCCTGAATTTCCAAAGATATACCTCGAAGTACTCCTCCACAGCTCAGTGTAGAGCCATTCGCCACCTTCACCACCATGGAATCGG